GGCTGCCGTGAGTCACCGGCGATGGCCTAGGCTGAAGAACAAAAACGACAGCAACTTGTCTGTTCCCCTTCCCCCAATTCCCCAGCACTGTTCCCATCCCCCCCAATTCCCCAATTAAAATCTTAAAAAAAAAAAAAAAGAAATACTCTTCCTCCGAGGTTGATAATGGGGTCAGGTTGGGCTCAGATCTGTGAGGCCCTGTGGCCTCTCGCCCATCTGTGCCCAGGTTCCGCGTCTGTAAAATGGGGGTGATGCTAGTGCCCGCCTCCTGGGGTGGTTGAGAAGACTAAATGAGATCATGCATAGATGGGCTTGGCACAGGGGCACGCAGCGGGGCTAGAGTGCCCTAGTGATCTTATTATGCTGGTGGTTTCCTTTTCCCTTTCTCTGCCACTGGAAGTCTTTCCCTTTCCTGAACAAGATCCAATTGGATTGAAAGCCATTTGCTCTGCCCATCCTTCCTGGATCTGTCCTCCTGCCCTGCCCAAGCCAGACAGAATTAATGATTATTTCCTCTATCCTTAGCACTTCTTTATTTCTGCCTGTTTTATAAAATGGCTGTTAATGCCCCGCCCCCCAAACCAGAGGGAAACCTCCCATTCGTGAGGGAAGCTGAGTGTGTAAGTTTCAGCAGCCTGGGGGGGGGGGGGGGGGGGGGTAGCCTGGAGCACAGACCATTATGCGGGCTAGTGACTTAGGAGTCAACAAGGCAGAAGGAGGCTTCCTATGTGGTTCTAGGCTCTTGCCTGAGCGCTTTGCATGTGTTCTTTCATTTAGTCCTCGGAACACCCCTATGAGGAAGAATCATTATTATTCCAATTTGACATGAGGAAGCTGAGGCCCTGCTTGGTTACCCAGGCAGTCCCATGCCCAGCCCACGCATTTAACCACCACTACATACAGCTCCCCATCCGCTGGATACAGGATTGAAATGCAATGCAATTCCGTTCATGAGCACCTTACTCCTGTGCTGAGCGATGGGCATCCAGACCTGCAGGACACACGGCCCCTGCCCTCAAGGAGCTCCCAGGTCCCAGCATGGACCTCAATAAATGGTATCCTATGGGGTAGGTGCTGTCAGAGGCCAGACCCAAGGCAGGGCATCCCCAGGAGGTGGGGTAGTAATAAGCTTTGCCCCAACTGAGGCACAGATTAGGAGTCAGCCCAGCAGCTTTAGGAGGACAAGGAAGCAGAAGGGATGCCTTCCCCTTCCCCCATATCCAAGAGAGACGCAGCTTCTCTCAAGTTGTGGAAAATTACTGAGAGGCATTGCCGCCTAGTCACCTTGAGCATTCTCAGACTAGATAAGGGGCTGGCATGGCAGGTTGGCAAGGGGCCAGCATGGTGCTGACGTGCAGGTGTGTGTGTTGCACATTGCTGAATGGCGTATGTAGGTGTCCATGTCCTAGTCCCTCCACCCAGCCAGAGTGAGCACGTCTAACTCAGTGTGTGCTAAACAAAGGAGGGTGTGTGTGAGTGAGTGGCAAGGCTGCCCAGTGAGACATTAGTGTATGTAGAATGGATATGCTTTTGTGTGCATGTGTATACTACTGTTTATTGAGCACCTACTATGCACCAGGCGCTATGCCAGACTCTTCATACACACATCTTACTTCATCCTCACAGTCATACTCTACAAGAGGTATTATTATTCCCTTTTAACAGACTGAAAAACAGACAGAAAAGATTTACTGTCACTGGGCCAAGCTGGAAAGTGGGCTTCTGCTTGGAATTGCTGCCAGGGGGCCGTGTGGCTACAGAAGGGGCTTTGCACTATCAGAAAAGAGAGAAGGGACAGAGTTACACAGGCTGTGCCCCAGGAGGGGAGCTCCAAAGAGTGAACAGGAAAGACATTAGGGACCAGCTGACAATCCTTCCATCCTGGAGAGGAAGGTGTTGCTTTATTGCATGGGGAGACCCACATCATAACACACAGCTGTCCTGCACTGGTGTGAAGGCCAGACATCTGCGTATTATATACTCCAGGACCCCACCCTCCATACAGAACACACCATACACCATACACCTCATACGCGCATACCTCCCCTACACATACATGCTGTAGACACACTAATGAAAAAGGAGTTCATTCAGAGTACGGATCACTCACACACACACACACACACACACACACACACACACACACACACACACCACTTTCCTGCAGTAATTCCCGCTGCTCCGCCTCTAGGCAGGCTGGCGAGAAGGGCTGTGATGCTGGCGCTGCGCAGCAGGTTGGTGTATGTGGCTCGGGGATGGCTTTGCCTGCAGGACAGGGAGGAGGACAGCCTGGCAAGTGCACCTTAGAAAGGTCTCTGTGGCCCGCCTTCTCCGACACTGGGTCTGCCCGCATGCCACCCCACCCGGCCCCACTCGTGCTCCAGCTCAGGCCTCCTTGCCGCCGGCCTAGAAGTTTCCAGCAGGCAGCCCTGAGGTCTCCGTTCACCAACCCATGTCCGTTCCACACCCCCACACCCCCACAGCCATGATATGGCCAGGGGGACCAGCAGGAGCACCCACTGTGCTAGCAGCTGAGGCCACCACAGCTCCTGTCATGGAGCTGACGGGGTAGATGGGGAAACTGACAGTAGACACGTGTCAGGGCATGAGGAGACTAAAAGAAAAACAAAGTTGGGTGAGGGACAGATGCCTACAAAAATAAAAGGACAAGACACAGACTGGGAGAAATTTGCAAATCATGTATCTAAGAACCCAATCTAGAATATAAAAAGAACTCTTATAACGCAATAATAAGACAAACAACCCAATTTTTTAAAAGCTGGGCAAAAGATTTGAACTCATGTTTGATCAAAGAAGACATATAGATGGCAAATAAAGACCCGAAAAGATGCTCAACATTATTATGCACTGGGGAAATGCAAATCAAAACCACAGTGAGAAGTCACTTCAGACCACCAAAATGGCCGGAATTAAAAAGACTGGCCATCCCAAGTGCTGTCAAGGACGGGGAGGTACTGGAACACTCATGCGCTGCTGGTGGGAGGGTGAGGCGGTACAAACACTACATGCCTATCAGCACAGCTAAAATAAAAAATTGTGACAAACACCAAAGGCTGATGGGCATGCAGAAAAACTGGATGGTTGCTGGTAGGAATGTAAAATGGTTTTTCCCTCCCCTCTGGAAATGCAGTTTGGCAGTTTCTTTTCCAAGTAAACATGCACGTAAACTGTGTAAGGCAGCCATGGCATTCTTGGATATTTATCCCAGAAGAATGAAAACTACGTTCATGTGAAAACCTGATGCAAATGTTCAGAGCAATTGTATTCATAATAGCCCCACGCCCGAAACCACCTACCTGCCCCTCAGTGGGTGAATGGTTAAACTAAGTGTGGGACATTTATATCATGGACTACTACTCAGCAATTAAAAAGGAGAGGGCTATTGATGTTTGCAACTACTGGGATGGACCTCAAGGAAATTATGTTGAAAAAAAAAAGCACATCTCAAAAGGTTACCTACTGTATGACCTCATTTATATAACATTTTTGAAATAACACAACTGTAGAGATGGAGAGCAGATCAATGATTGCCAAGGGTTAGGGGTTAGGGGTTGGGGGAGGGGTGGGTGTGGTTGTAACAAGGTAACAGAGGGAGGCTTGTGGTGACGGACCATTGCTGTACCTGATTATGATGGTAGTGACACAAATCTACACCTGTGTGAAATTGCATAGAAACTCAGACACACAGAGTGCTTGTGAAACTGGGAAAACAGGGAGAAGCTCCATGGGTTTTCCCAATAGTAATTTCTGGTTTTGATATAATTAATCTATGGTTCTATAAGATGGTAACATGGTAGCACTGGGGAGTCAGGGTGAAGCCTGCATGGAACCTCCCGGCACGTGTTTTCGCAACTTGCTGTGAATCTGTAATTCTTTCAAAATAGAAAGGTTTTTTTTTTAAAGGTACAATC